TATGCTATTGGTTAAATTTTGATTTAAAGCAAAATGCAGAAACCATAAAGGACAGGGGATCATACAGAATTTCGGAAATCCATTTAATGGTAAAAGGAGTTATCTCCCTTTATGGAAAATATCAATAATCATTGATAACAGTATTTTGTTTAAAGAATTTATTTGATAAAATAAATAGGATTTAACTACAAACTAGGGCAGAGGCGTAGCCGTGAAATATATATTGGTGGGGGGGGGGGGCAAATGAAATTATATAAAATGTTGACAATCTGTGACGCCTGAGGCGCGATTATTAGGGTGTGGGAGAATCAGTCTTCTGTAAACACTGTTTTGGCAATGTTTATCATGTTTAAGTCAGGGGGTGTCGTATTCATATTTTTTCCTGACTTTTACATATTGAATGTTACGCTTGAGTTATGAACAACGCGTCAAAGGGAGTTTAGTAGGGGAATTTTTATGAGGATTCAAATGAAACAAAACTTGATCACATAACTTTAGTTTATGAGGATGCATATTTGACAATCACCTTGTTAACTACAATACTATATACATATACACATTGACATTTACAAGAAAGTTGTATAGATATTTAAAGTATTTTGTACATTTTGTGTATTATAAATGGATTTCAAAAAGTAAATATAGTTTGTGTTTTAATTTGTACATTGTTTTATACAGATAGAATCTTAACTAATCCTAATAATTGTTGTAAATAAATAGGAGTTAAGGCCTACTATGTAAATATGGGGGGTGGCAAGTGTATCCAGACCCCCCCCCCCCCACTCGAAAAACAATTGGGGGGGGGGGGGTCAGTTTAAATGCTTGTAACTTAGCCTTAAATATCTGAACAAGAGGTTTACAGCTACCTGTAGTAAAAATAATGTAGGGTCTAATTGAAAGGATATGTAGGTGTGGCTTTATGTTTTAATGGAAAAAATCACGTGGTTTCAATGCGATTTGCAAAACTACGGACAGAGTCCGGTCTCCATTACTTCATAGACATATTGCTCAACCAATGTCAACATATCTCCTTGCTCATCAGACGAGGCGCTCCGCCCATAATTTCTGGGTAAACACCCGCTCACCAGCACTTGCAGTCCCTGGGACCCCATTAACGATATAAATATTGGGCTTGTGTGCTCACACATGGTCTTGTGTGTCATACAGCATCAGCAGTCAACACACACCTGAAATACTGAACATCAATTGCAGACATTTGACAGAATGGAGATAACCCCCTATTACCGTTAATGGATTTCCAAAATTCTGTATGTTCCCTTGTCCATTAGGTTTTCTGCATTTTGGCCGAGGATGAAGGCATTGGTTGTTTTCGCCAATATTTAATTTTATGTCAACTTCACAATTGTTAGTATAAATATAGTATTTATTTGAAAATTATCACAATTTTCATCTGGCCCTAAATCGAGTTATTGCAAACATTTTGCTTGGAACTCTCTGGGTTTGTGTTCCTGGTGTTATAAGCTTTCCAAAAATGTATAGTTTGTTTATTTGGGAGGATCATGTAGCGGATTTGTGTTTCTAAGCAAGCTAGAAATTTCGGCTGCAGGCCATACTGGTCGGTAAACCTCTTACCTAAATGGAAATAGTTGCCAGTTCCATTTTAAGCAATACATGCTATTTGTACGAGCTGGTATTTTACTCAAAAACATGTAACGGCCTATATGTCTCTGTGAGTAAATAAGGCCAGGCACAGCGCGTGACCGAAAATGACGTCAAAGGGAACCCCGTAAAAGCTCCTTGTTATCACAAATTCATTGTGCCCATTCTCTATGAAAGGAATATTAATTATTTAGTTGAACTTATGAGAAAGAAAAACATGCGGAAAAGACCCAAACTACTCAGACATTGTGAGTAATAAACAACAAATATCAAATCAAATGAATAGCTTAAAGATACATTATGGGAGATTCGATAACGAGTTAGCAGTTCTCAATATAATAGTTAAAAACTAGATAATACAAAGGCAATTTGCTGAAAATTTCATTCAAATTTGATCCACTATGAACCGAGAACAAAGCGATTGAATTTCCGCCTAGCCTTCATCATCATTACTAAAGTCAGTACGATAAACAGCATAGGATCGATTATCTATTAATCGTTAAATCGCGAAGGAAAGTTATGCAGTAAATCGGCTCACAATCCACTAAAGATCGCAGGCTAGCGATGCCATCTAGGGTTGATGATGGTCTGGATAGGTTAATTAATGTCTAATTAATAATTTAGATAACATTTCAGGCCTAAAGAAAGACCTGCAATAGACAGATTTAGCTCTTGCATAATGTATGTTTAATATCCTACTCATGCTGTAGTCAGATTTAAGCTTTCAACTCGTGAGGTGCGCGGAGTTCTATGAAACGCAATCTTGTTCTGAAATTAGGAAAACACTTCGGGCTGTATTTCAGGGGGAGTAATTTTGTCCTACACAACGGCCTTCACCTTCGCTTGATAAACTGGCAAGAAAGGTATGATAATAATAATTTCCCATGGTGTATTATTATATTTCGTTTGGACGCGGTATTCATCATAAACGTTCTGTAAAACGATAACTATTGCAATTAAACCGATGTTATCTGTGGGTATTGACAATATTCTGAATGCACCTTTCAAACGATAACGAATGGCGATTCGATAAAGCCCGTAATTTATAAGGTGTCGTGCGTGGTCGGGCAGTGGATCCTTCGATTTTAAATGACAGAATCGCCCTCACCAACCCAGGCTTTGCTCCTTTTGTTTTAGACACTGTAACTGACCTAGATTTCATTGTTTATTTGTTGAATTACTTTAATTTAAAGTGTTCTTTTACCTTTAAATGTAGATCTATGTTCTGTATTTGGAGAAGACAGTCATTTAGGCAAAATTTTGTTAATGGCCAAAAGGGACATAACCCTTAAGAACTAAATAATATAAATAATCCACTTAGACTACTTGGCAGATTAAATTATTAGATTGGGGCATGCCTAGACAAAGATTTCAATATAAAATTTCAGTTTGTATGTTAAAAATTTGCTTGACATATCAATTCTCGTGAAGGGTGATATTATAAGCTTTAAGCTTATTTTTTATATTGCCATTCAACTTCATCCACATTTTAACATCACAATGTCAAAGGTCAATCAAGAGTTCTGTTGAACAGAAAAATGTATGCCCCATTTGACAGTTTGACAAGCAGTTTCTTCCCCAGGATCCAAGGTATAATATGTTTGATCTTAACCTTGTGACATTTGGACCCCCCGAATCAAGTGCTTTTTACAGTGTAGTGGATGCTCACAACTGGCCCCTGGATCAATTCTCTTGATTTTATATTTTCTGTTTATTTCTTGCAATGTCTTGTTGGTTCTGTTATTTGTATGTAGTGCAGTTCACTTTCTCGTACTATTATTAGCTGGTTAGATAACAAACCTCATCTCTCAACCCTCCGTGTTTCGAGATAAGAGATGGACCTATATAGTTCCATGTAGCAAAGCCCAACACGAATCGCATCGGGAATTAGTAAGCAAAATTGACAATATTTTTCATCAAAACAATGATTGATTATTCTTATATATAATATTTCTGCCACATCCAACTACAATTAAGCATATTATCCTATCTGGAATGGGTATAAATCATCATATTTAAAATCGAGGCGTTAAGCCGAACCTAAGAATGACGTTTTTAAACGGGAGATGTATGACGGTGTATGTCGGATAAAAATGCTTCATTAAGTTAAACACAAATATTTGGAGTTAGGCAATACTTGTGCCACTACATTGGCCTCTGTAAGTTTAATTGGTCATAATAGTATAACATTATCTTATTTTTAAAGAAATAAAGAAACTGAGTTTGCCACTTGGAACTAAAGGCATCCAATAGTAGCTAAAAACAAACACATCAGTATATCTCAACGTTTTTAGCTATATGTTCTTGTAGCTACATTGTATTAGCTGTGTGTTCTGAAAAGTTGTGGCATCTACAAAGAACTAGTTAGTACTGGGTCGTACAATTCAGAGAACTATTTACATCATTTGGGATGTTTCTGTAATATTCCACTGTGCGAAATTTCAACTAATTTTGTCAGGTTTGAAAAAATTATAGCTTCCTTTGCAAAGATCATGCAATTACAACCTGAGTTTTTCATATTGGTTGTTCCATTACTGTTAGCTTTATATCACTACCAGGTCCATGGAAAGGCAACAGGGTAGTGTTACTATTTATATATTAGATGATTTCTTTTAGTAAGTAATGTTACTGTATGATTGGGTTCAATTAAATCATCAGCTACAATGATTAAAACGGCACATATCGATAGTGATGTTAACGTGTGATTGGCTTCAATTATCAATTACATATATTATTATTACAACAGCTTTTATTGATTATGAGATGACATCAGTCGGTTATTATTCACCAGATTATTGCATGTATACTGGTTACGAGAAAGCTTTGTAATGATAATCATATGTTACGACTCCACCGGTGTAGTACTAGTAGTACTAGCTTCTCCTATGTCGACTGCTTTAATTTGACCTTAACTTCAAATTTGAAATGGAAACAGGTAGGACCATCTGTGAAGTTTTAAAAGAATGCTTTAATTATTTTATTACAAATTTAGGAAAGAAAGAAGTTGCTTGATATTGGAAATTAGAACATTGGGATATTGTTTGATTAAAACTATTGATATTTATTATACGATTACCGATACAATGTTCTTGGAACTTGTCAGGAACTTGTCATTGTCATCCCCTGGCCTTCATCTAGAGAAGCCAATTGATTTTCAACAATATCCGATAATGACTGCCAGAGGTATGGCTCCTAATCACTTTGAAAAGTTGTGAAGGATGATCTAGAGATTAAAGTTATTATCATATCAATTGACTTTAAATTTATGCAAGAGTACAAAGTATAATAGAACGATACTTATTAACAGTACCTGTACAGTATAAATAAACTAGTGTGGAATAAACATAATCATATTTTTTTTTCTTTTTAATTTCAGACATCCTCAATATGATCCGTTGAAAGAAAGAAACTTGACATTATGTCTAAATTATTTTACTAAATTAGGATAACGGAATAAGCAGTTCTACATCTTTAAACATCATGAATCAGAACGGGGATAATACTGCGGGTTTAGTCAATGGACAAGTAACAAATTCATTTGTAGAAACTGATTCAGACATAGTATTTATGGGAGAATCTCCAGGTTTCCTTAGTCCCCCACCTTCTGTAGCTCCTCCTCCTGTTTCATTAAATGGTCAGAATGTAAACCAAAGACAGAATTTTCAACATCCTAATCAGACTTATCCTAATAACTATGAAACTATTAATAATAGAACGCCCAGTAAACAGAAACATAATGTGCCTAACCAATCACCTGTTCCTGTTCTACAAGTACGGAATTTTACACCGATCACAGTACCTAGAACACTCCAACAGCCTAGAATGAATACTTCACCAAATGTTAAACAAATCCCCCGCTCACCCTCCTTTCGACAGCAAGGACAAATATCCCCTAATTCTTCAAAACCATTTCGATACATCAATCAGTCACCAGTTAGAAATCATCCTGTGGCACCGGTTCAGTCAGTAACATGTAGATACCAGATAACCAATTCACCAAGCTACAAGATTACCAACCGTGATGCGCCTACAGAATCTCCCCTAAGCCCAAACAGTGATACTAAGCTTGAATCAATCAAGACCAATACTACAGTTAGTTCAGGTTATAAGGACCCAGGTGAAATAGGTTTGATTCAAAGTGCTGAAGAGCTTTGGGATAAAATGAAGAGTGGAAATTCAAATTCTAATGAATCTGTGAAAATAAAAAATGAGAAGATTGCAAACATCCCCAACGAGATAATTCCAGATCTTATTGTAATAGAGCCAGACATTACAGTTGAAAAAGTAAAATCTGATGATGAAGAAACAGAGACATCAGATGAAAAAGACCCTGAAAAATCAGATGAAAAATCTCTGAACTGTGAAGCCGATTTATTAAAAAGAAGATCTAAAAAAAGAAAGAAGCAGCAGAATACAGACTCTGAGAAAAGTGATTCTACCGGAGATAATAATACTGTGTTAGAAGATGGTTCCATGCATAGCAGAGAGAATTCCAATGATGGGAGCATTCAATCGTCAGAATCAAAGAAAAGGCGTGGACGACCAAAGAAAAAACATCCAGAAATTTACATCGAAAATCTGGAAACAGGGGAGGGTTCACCATTATCTGATATAGTTGAAAATAATATAACTCCTCTTTCAATTCAATCATCTGCTTTTCCTGTACCTGATGTTGATAAAACTGATCAAGACTATACACCTGGTTCCAAAAAACGTGTGAGACCAAAATTCAAACAAACACCTCATATCAAGCCTGGTTTTGTTGAAGCAAATCAAAATCCTAGTGATAATAGGGAAGCTCTGGATAGTGCGGGACTAAAAGAAGCCATTGCTAATAAGAGACAATCAAATGCAAAAGATGTTTGTAATGCAGAGACTTCAAGCATACTCGAAATAGATAAAAAAATCAGTGATAATGATACGGTTACAACAAAACCTTTAGCACTAAGAATCCACCATAAAAAAATGTCTGAGGAGAAACGTTTTAAAACATTCAAAAGTTTATCAGCTAGCGTTCGGAGAGCAAAACTTCATTCAAGACGCACGCGTAGCACAAAGACAATAACGTCCCCAGAACAGGGTAACTCACCTTTGAGATCTGGAAAAAAAGTTAACAAAAGAAATAATGTTGGTAGTGCGGTAAAAAGACGTGGACGATCAAAACAGAGTCCTAAAGCAGATAAAGAAAAGAAACCAGAATCTGTCAGTGATTCTTTACTTCCAGAAGTAAAAATAAAGGTACCTGTTAAGGCAGATACAGCTGTTGCTAGCACTTCTAAGTTAGAACCAAAATATACGCCAAAACGGAGAGAAAGAACAACATCAGAACTAAGCATAAGCAGTCAAGAAAAAGTAAGTGGGTACAAAAAAAAAAAGTGTAGTAATTTACTGTTCTGCACAGGAACTAAAAATTTTATATGGACTAAGTTGTCTTACTTATTAATATAAATATAATTGTAATATTCCAATATTTCAGTTCACCTAATTTTAGGGATAGAACATCCATTGACATTGCAAGAAGGGAAATAAATGGAGGTCTGAGTCCGCATCATACATAGGATTACTCCGATTGGATGGCAATTTAATGACAGTGTAACAGCACCTGCCCTTGTAGTAGACTCTTGCATGTTAAATACATTGTATTCAGGCAATGTCTCCTTTGCAAGTGCTATTATTTAGCAGACGATGTCACTTGACATAGCACTTGCAATTATTTAGTAGACTATGACACTCAACAGGTCGATGAGCTGATTGGAGTTTGATTAAACATAGGACTATTGTAACTTTATATAAAAATAATGAATTTATTTTTTTCAGAAATCTCCTGTTGATAAAAAGAAAGGTGTTGTCAAAAATATTGGTGCTGGTAAGAAATAAGTTTTTTGATCAGCTTAAAGATACATTTAGTAAGAGTAAGAAAGAACTGGCCATTCTTGCTATGATAGTTCAAAAATAGATAATGCAAAATGAATATATTGAAAATTTCATTCAAATTACTCTAGTTTGAGTAAAGATATTAACCATTGAAGGTTTAACAAGATATGTGCACTAATTGTAACCACCGTACTTGTCGTTCGAAGCTTAGTCTCACTTCACCATTTTAAGATTAAATCATTAAATGGCTGAACCGTTCTAATCTACTTAAAATCAGACCTATCCAATGGCATAGAGGGTCTTGTCATGTTAATTAATGTCTAATTAATAGTTTATATCACACTTAAGGCCTCAAGAAAGACCTGCAATAGGCAGATTTAACTCTTGTATGTCTGTTTAACATATGATTTTATCCACTTTATTTTTGTCAAATAGGATTCCGTTATGTACCAGTAATTTAGGTGCAAATTGCATATCTATGCCTGTGAATACCTCCAGACCATGTAAAGATAGATGGGACAACTTTATATAAAAATACTTTTTGCTATTTGACTACTGAATAGATTTAGTTTGCTTAGATTTTAGCATAAGAAAGTAGAAATTGAGTATGACTATGATATTTCAAATGACCAGGAACATTATAAGTACAAACACACATTGTATAAAACACAGTAAGAGCCCACAATAAATTGATATTGCAGAGATTATTGCAAACTATTGACCACTGGTGTGCTAATGTCAAATAGCAACCAGCTTATGCATAATAATGGAACCTATGTAAATATTTATAATATTAAACTGGCTCTGGTTGTAATAGTCTCCCCCACCCCCCATCCCGCCAAAATGGTTTTAGCAACAAATATATATTTATTGGTAGTTCAGATATATTTTCGACTCAGTATTTATACATTTCACATTTATTATTTGGATTTTGTGGATTACACTCTTGATAATGTTCTTTTCTCCTTTATTTTTTATTGTAGTTATATCAGGTTTATTTGGAGATGGTTTTATGTCTATGGCTGATTCAAATGGTTTTGTCGTTAATGTGAGATTAGATGTAGAAAAGAAACCTCCCTCCCCAGTTCATGTACCAGTAACAAGGTAGTATTATTACATGTATATATATATTTATGATTTTATCAAGAAATAAATGTCTTTCATCAATCTGAATACCTTATTTCCAGACACACAATCAGTTTGACAATATTCGTCAAGGAAATATATGAATTGATTGTAAAAAGCTTTATTTCCACTGACATTAATCCAATGAAATATCAGTAAATAGAATGAAATACTAGTAAATGGACTGAAATACTAGTAAATGGAATGAAATACTAGTTAATGGAATTAATTACTAGTAAATGGAATGAAATACTAGTAAATTAATTAGATAATATATTACGATTGACAATATGACATCAATGAAATAGTTGCCAATATGATTACAAAGATCATAAAGTAAACAAATAGATTTTCATGTAATCATTCGAAACCATAGAGCTTGTCTCGTCACTAATTGAATTAATGCATCATATTAACCCAATTCACTACTTTGTTTTGACCTAAACTGAAGAAGTTTAGCTGCTTTATGACAAGTTTTGGTTAATGTTGATTAATATTTTATTTTCAGAAAACGTACAATAGAACAGAAAACGGCAGAAAGTGATCCAGCCTGTCTTTCAACAAGTATGTTTAAAAATCGCCCTAGTGATCAAAAGGAAAAGGGCCCACGAACTGGTAAAAAATATAAACAAGCTGAAAACGGTGATCCAGACTTTTTTACTAATGCTGAACTGTGTAACATATTAAAAAATCGAATATCTGCTCATCCACATATTGATAGTGAAATGAAGGCTGCCGTAATAGACAGTATACAATATGCTAAGAAGTTACTGGACAGTTGAAGACTACTCTATGTATATTAGGTGTATATATTTATCATTGTGGTGATTCATTGTAACTTGTATAATATATCATACTTCTTCATTATAAATATAGTTTAACCCTTTAGTTACCAAACATATAGTTTAACCCTTCAGTTACCGAACTCAAAACTTGCAAATGGCATCAGATTATCAAAACTTCTTTACAGTGATGTTATAACACCATGGTATATTTTTATGGACACATAACTTCTAAGCAAAACCAAATATTACATGTTCTGTTTATTTCGTAGAAAACCGATTTATAAATTGTAGGTATTTCTGTTAACTTCATTTCAATTTGGGAAGCACAAGTAATAAAAAAAGGCAATATTTAACTGAATATAACAACCTTTTTACACATGCTAAATTCAATGCAGATTCACTGCCAAATTATGAATAGCAATGCGGTGAAAATAACAGTTGAATACGTTCATAAGACATCTAACTCACTGTACACACATTCGTACAGTTACTATTTTAGCCTTTTGGTGATGGAAAACATGCTTCTAGTCATGATCAGTAACTGGTCGTCCTGACAATTTGCTAATTTATGATGTGATAAGTAGGCAACAGAGCATACCCTTTCGTACCTATTGGGTTTGATAAGTAAACATATTATTTTGCCTTTAAGTCAAAATGAAAATTTTAATAAGGTGAAATTAAAGTGACACCTCTCTATATATAGCTCTGTTTCATTTAAGTGGGTTTCAGCAGGGTCAAAATAGTTCATTGTTATATATGAAATTCTCACTGATATAACAAAATGGTGGGTTAGAAGCACAGTAATAAACATGTGGCTATCTAGAATTCAATCTGATTAAAACTATTTAATTTTATTTTTTATTGTTTAAAATTTTATTTTGCTGGTCTTTTCTACACTAGGATCTGGAGAAGTTGTTATATAACACCTGTACTAGATGATGTGAGGGATTAGCCAATGAAATGGTCTGTTGTGGCGAGGTTTTGGCATGAGGTGCACGGAATTTTGGGAAACCACTAGAAACATCAACGCTGATTGATTAATCAATGTCTGACGTCATAAGTTCAAAAGTCGCTCATATGACACCTGACGAGACCTTACACTACAACTGGTCAGATCTTCATGTAGTGTAGGCCATCAAAAGTATAATCGACAACCATTATGACTTTTTGAAGTTATGCCACTATATTGCTGACAATACCGAAAAAGATGTAACCCAATAGATTAAAAGAGCTCTTTTTTGCCATATTTGTGAGCGTCATTTTAACACAAAACTGTCATAGAGAATTTGCCACATTTGTTTATTTACAAGATCAAATAAGTTATCTCATGTAAACTTTATCAAATAAATGTTGCATAGAATGTGTGTTAAATATTTCCATTCACATTGGATATTTTTCAATGTTATTGGAGATGTGACAAAGAAAATATGCTTTGTAACTTTAGCTCATTACAGCACAAGGAAAAGTTCGTTATATTTAGTTCTTTGGAAAAAAAAACATAAATCCATACATATTTGAAATGAATAATTATTGATCCAATATATTACAGTTGATTTATTAAATATTTTTATAGGGAATCATATTTTAAAAATTCAAAAAACATCTGAAAAGGGAAATTAAGACAATGGATTTCACATTTTCCAAAATTTTGTATTTTCTAGGTCTTGAAAGATAAATAATATTTTAATACAAGATAATGTTTACTATTAAATACATAAGATAAACTGTCTTCTTGGCGATAAATTTATAGATAATCAGAAAATAAAATTATTATTCTATCAGTCTAGTAAATGCATCCAACTAGTTTAATTTAAACAACCTTGATTCCAGGCAATTTTTCGTATTTTTTTTTAAGCATGCAGATAATAAGAAAGGAATATTTGCATAAGGAATAATGGAGACCATTTAAATGTTATTTAAGCTTCTTAATTTGTTTTTTAATAATTCACAAGTACTTCTTGGGAGGAATTGCATTCATTTGTTTACATATTTACGCAACTCTACATACATGTATTTACAGGTATTTTTAAGTTAAGAATTTACTCAACTTTCAATCACTGTTTATGAGAAATATCTTTGATCCAGAAACACAAAGCTTTGCACATAGTTTCTTATTAATGTATTTGATACATTAAAACAACAAATATTTTATAAAGAACTATACTTGAGTTAAAATAAAGTGAACAATTTTGAGTAAATTCTTAGCCTAAGTCTGAGAATCCTTTGTTAACTTTGGGCCTGCTCTCTAGAATAATGCAATGGAGTATTCTAAGTGTCAATCTTGTCATATCATTGTATCTTCCACAGTGTATTGAGTGATTACTGACCCCGTGAAATATGGTATAAAAGATATTTTCAGAATATTTCTAGTTTTCCACATATTTGTCTTTAAAAATGACTTTATTTGATTTGCCCAGAGTTCATAGGCAAAAATTTATGGAATCTTGCTTTGTTTCAATCATTATATTCTTAAAATTGATATAAGGTGTATTCCAATTTCAGGGCTAAATATCTCAGCTATTTATTAAGATCAATGTGTAGTCCTATGTCACACACCAATTAAACTAGATTTATTTGATTTTGTGAATAGCTGGTTGCATTTTATTTAGTTTGTCATCCCAAGTTCATTTTGATGAAATTAGTGTGAGTACCTGTAATCAAAAATCAGAAATAATAGGTCTAGTTTTATTATATAAATGCCAAAATATTGAATCATTTCATCAAGTATGCAATAAATGAAAATATCTTTTTACATTCATTACTGACAGGTTTTAAACTTTCACCTACATGTATGGAATTTTTTAAAATTGATTATATTCTCTTCATTAGATCATTCATATTTCCAATTGTATGTGAAATCAATTTCATTTCCACATTTTTCAAACCTCAAATGTAGATGGTTATTGAGTGTATAGTGATTTCAAAAATCAAAGATATAATATTTTGAAGGAGATAAATTATACATCAGTTCAGTTTTATGAACCATAAGCTAAAGTGCCTGAAGCTTATTTTTTTTTACTGTTTTTTTTCTATAATATTTTATTCTACAGCTGTTAACTTGTATGTTGTTATGCTGGGTTTACATTCATGTTGTATTACCTCTATATTTGTTAACTCATCTGGCAAAAGAGTTGGTTATATATATATATATATATAGTAAAGGCAGGGGGACAACACTATACACAAACAAAACCGAAAAGACAAGCCTGCAGATAAGACACACTACATAGACATTGAAAACAATAAACAACAAATATCAGATCATTTGAACTAATCCGGCTGTAAGTGTCCACTGCGCCTCTATGTCGTTGTTTCAATTTGATTACTACATGAAGCATTTATCAACCAAAGGTTCTTTAGAATAAATATGTAGGTAGTTGCCATTCAAGATATTTTTTTTTTTTTTTTTTGTGAATAATATTTTATTTCAGATATCTGAAGTGGGTTGAGGAACAGACTAAGCCTATGTAAAACCCACTCTCCAATTTAAGGCAGGTGTTCTTTAATGCAAATATTGACCTTAATTTGTTTTAGTAAATCAACAGACTTTGTGAATATTTACCACAGTTATTCATTTGATGGGTATATTGACACTGTTCTATTGTTTTCCCCATCTTCATTAGCCCAGTCAGAGAAGAACAGTAGGACGTTAAACCCCATTTCATTTCATTTCTATTGTTTTTATAGTCCACATTTAATCATGGTATTATATCACATATACATGTACAGGAAAAGGTTTTCATATTCTTTTAAAGCAAAATCTTCATTAAACTTTGGCCTCATTAGTATGGTAAATTTTTGAGATTTCTTTTCCCAACTTGTTGGGATCTGGAGATTAACTTTTCAAACCATCAAATCGTAATAAATAATACAAACATCTTAGATGACTAAACATGCTGGTGAGCATGTGTTGTTTTGCATGTGAGCATGTGTTGTTTTTCATGGCAACAACAGATGTTTCATTTTGTTTTGGGTCCATGCATTAAGTTGAGCAATGAAAATAAATGTTGGTAATAATTTAACTCCCTGTACTTCCAAAACAATACCGGTACATGTATTTAAAAATCATAAATCTCTATGAAGAAATTCTCATTTTCAGTGATATTTGCCTAAGCAGCGTACTACTTTTTTTCTAAAGATGCTTTGCTGATTTTATGTGCTGTAAATATATGCTGTAAATAGTTGTATCGATGTACCGTGATCACCAGTATGGATTTCTATTTATACATTTAATATATTTTATTCTATGTAAGAAGTTTTTCGTACTATAATTACAAGTTCTATGAAAATACTGCAGCACAGGCACACCTCTATTGATTTTTTATTTTCTGAAATTTATACTGGCTGAACAATAATTTATTTCTATCCACCAACAACTGTAGCCAAAATGGCACTTAATTTATGTTTTGTTGTTTAGTGTTTAGTGTTGTCTAGATTATCGTATTATAAAGAACACATTTAATGAGGCTTTAATTAAAGGTTTTGTCCTGGTATATATATCATGATAAATAACCTGTTTACATTAAATTTAGACTACAAATTAGGCCACACCAATTTGATTTTCTATTCTTCTGGGACTTAAAAATTTGAAACTAAAAGCTTTTGAACAGCACAACCAAGTACTTTTGTTTAAATAAGCCTTTTTTCTGAATAAATATGAAATTTTTTTTTACAGGTTTTCCCAAAGAATAGAAAATCCAATTATCTGTATTTTCTTCATTAATTATGTGGTTTCATATAGCAGTATTTTCCCCCATACATTATTTGAGGGGGGTTGGATGGCCGAATGGTTAGCACTCGCGCGCAGTATCATACGGTCTGTCATTGAGTCAACTAGCGGGGTTTCGATTCCCCGGTTGTACGTGACAAGGAGTAGGGTCACCTGTCCAACCTCGTGGGTTTTCTTCAGGTCCTTCGGTTTCCACCCACTGCTAAAGACCCCTACGCGCACGCGAATTATAGAAATACAATTGAACCATGTGTTAGTCCCGAAATGACCTAGTTTGTGTCGAGTGGACGTTAAACCCTATTTCTCTCTCTCTCTCTCACATTATCTTGAGTCTTCACAGCTGAGTTACACTGATTTTACTGAAATTCTTGTGAGAAATAATGCGGCTGCAATTTGAAATGTATTTTATTTATCTGACTTTAATCTGGACATTTACTGACAGAAAAATCAACATTCCATATAGATTATACAGCTTTACTTTACAGTGAAATGTAGACTCAAAGTCTGTAATATATGTGATTGCTAGAGGTGGACACAAATGCCATACAACACTGCAGCATCAAGGAGATAAACCCCTGAATCCTCTTTGTGTTATATACTTCCATCAACGCATTCTTATTACTCATGCCCTTATGGCACGTTCTCAGAGTTCAGGTTCAGACTTGACCCTGGCTTTTTAAAAGCATCGGTGGTTCGTTTAAGAGATCATGAAAACATCATTCTCTTGTATGGTTATAAAAGTGTTACATTTTCATTGAGTCTATTTAAGATTGCTAATTTTGATATTGTAATTTGATTTTTATACACCTTTTTACTTAAACAGTTGTTTAAAAAACAGCTTTAAATCTTATTTCAATTTTCCAGTCTTTTTAAGCTGGAGTAAAGTTTCACTGTACCACCTATTTATGTATATAATTATGACAAAGCACAAATTACCATGAAGAGAAATTGTTTCTCTGTCCTGTATATAACTGTACTGTTTATTTGTAAAATTAACAGTAGTATTTAAAAAATTAAAATGCCAATTTGTTTCATTTTCCTTTATTAAAGATACATTATGGGAGATAAGATAAAGAGATGGCAGTTCTCGCTATAATAGTTAAAAACTAGATAGTGTAAAGGTAATTTGCTGAAAATTTCAGTCAAATTGATCCACTATGAGCCGAGAAAGAAGCGTGTGAAATTTTTGCATAGTCTCGGTCATCATTACTAAAATCATTAATATAAACAGCATAGTCTCGATTATCCACTTTTATTGATTTAATTATCAATAGCCGTTAGCGGCATATAGGAATCTAATCCAGCCAACATCAAAACCTAGCCTTGTCATCGAGAGTTCATTATGGTCTGGATAAGTTAATTAATGTCTAATTGATAATTTAGATAACATTTCAGGCCTAAAGAAAGACTTGTAATAAGCAGATTTTGCTCTTGCATAATGCATGTTTAAGTAGCAATTCAAAATATGTACAATTGTCCATACGTTTATTTGATTCTGCTGTATACCCACAATTTTGTCCCTCTATCTATAAAACCTCAAAACATATAGTACCAGTACATGATGTATCTGTAACACCCCAAAATTTAGTACTTCCTGTTATCTAACACCCCAAACTTAGTACTTCATGAGGTATCAGTAACACCCCAAAACTTAGTACTTCATATATCTGTAATTCCCCAAAACTTAGTACTTCCTTTATCTGTAACGCCCCAAAACTTATTAGTACTTCATATATCTGGAGCTGACCCAAAATAGTGCTACATGTATGAAAGATGTTATTATAAGTTATTCATTGCAGATTTAACTTCAACCCTTGCTCCCCATGCCACAATTTTAATGATTTGTGTTAAAAACACTTAACCACAATATAACAAATTTTTCTAATAAAACTAACTATTACCCATAATTAATTCTAAATATCAGTGTCAGTTATTAATTGCATATCCACTCCTGAGTGAGAGTTTTCCACAAAAAAAACCCCAACCACATCTGTATTGTATATGTACTATCAACCGGGATCTTATTCACAAAAAGATAAAACTAAATATTTTAAGGATACATACTTTTCATTGGATGAATGTTAAAATCATAGCACAAACTTTTGTTCTTAAGGTTGCGTCCCTAATATAATATAATCAAGCTTTTGTGAATAATCTGTTTTTCTAAAAATGAAGATCAAAATATACTCTTCAAAAAGAGTAGGGGATATTCTGAAACAATATAAAACTGCAGAAATGCACTGCTGTTTTTATTAGAGGTAACCAGTGTATGTTAATAACAAGCCAATTGCCTACACATGAACAGTTCATATGGGCGGCTTATCTGACGGCCCCATTTCACTCTCAAAGAGATACACCTCGAAAGTGAAAATGGACGTTTTTGATTTTTGTCTTAATAATGAGTAATTGCTCCACCAATCCTCAGACATTCAGCAATTTGTTGTGGCATGCTCCTAATCAACCCTTCCTTGAAGTGTCAAATTTCACAATGAACCCCTCCCACGTGTATGGCGCTATTGCGTGTCGCATGTGCAGCTCAGTGGTTCTGTTGGGGCGATAAGTTCTTCATCTGTGAATATACTCTCAAAGCATGTCAAGTGTCCATGACTATTTATCATATCACAACCTGCATAGGTATTTTCATTTCAATATCTCCTACTTTTTTTTTGAAGAGTATATATTTATTCAGTTGTACTTCTTTTAGTTCAGAAAAAATTCAACATACATAATAAGAGAACTTTATTTTCAACTGACAAAATAAAACACAGAGTAAAGAAATACTGGAATTCACAATGTCATGGATTATATAAACCTCACCACTGAACAATATACAGTAAAATCAACAATTCAATAACAATATGGCCATCAGATTGATCATGTACAACAATATTTAATACATATATTTTATTTTTAAATGAATGACAAGATTAGATTCATGGGTATTATATCACATAAAACTAATGCACCTTGGTCAGATTTTTGTTGTTAAGCACTGTATTCTGTGATAGTTATTCTGACATTATGCCACATAAAATACAATTTCCAAAAATTTGAAAAAAACTATTATTTAACTCTGTTAAACTGAATGGAATTTGTTTTAATGGTTGAAATTAAAATATTTTCAGTAGAAAGATGATCTACCATTAATAAATTATATTAATAGCACGTTGTTTTACTATGCATACATTGTAACATTTGCAAGCACAGACTAACCATTCAATAGAATTCAAATGTATGACAAAAATTGTGAGAGCTCAGGAGTTTGAAGAATGATAGTATGTGAAAGACATGACACAATGAAAGTGGTATATGAATAAATGTTGATGATTAATTATGTTCTCTATACGGTCAATGAGCTGTAATTCAGTTTATCCACAGATTTAAGTGCTCAGAGGTTACAGGGAAATACAATATAGTCATGTGTAAATATATTAAATTATGTTCAACACAACTGGAATGCATTTTCTTTGTTAAAAATGAATGCATGTAACACAAAAGTATAAATATTATTCAATAAAAAAAAAATTCACAGATCAAAATCACAACTACAAATGATTCAACTTCCAGGAAAAAAAAAGTTCCAAAGCAGAGATATACAACACAACACCATGTCGACAGTTATCATCTGAGAGTTTGCAAAAAACAATATGGAATTTATTTGATTGGTTAAAAAAATAAATAAACACTGGTAATAATTTTGAATCCTACTCCAGTTTAATTAGGAATGTTTCAAGTTATTTCCAACAAAATCATGGGTGTGTTCAAAGACATTGGACTTCCTGGAAATATAAAACAAATAAATAAATGGCAGACATGTTAAATAATATAAATACCTGAAATAAAGAAATTCTATACAACATATAAACTGGCGAAAAACGTAAATCAATAGAACATGTATTTATTGAGGTGTTAAACAGAGCAGACACACACAATATTAAATACTAGAGATCCTGTACATATATAAATCTATAGACATTTTGATATAAATAATAGCTGAACAAAAGAATGAATACTTGAAATTGAGTTTAAGGTCCCACTTTCTGTACCAAGTGGCAATAGAACACTAACATTGTGCCTGCACTGAAAAAAGGTTAGGCTATGTTGTTTATAGAATGTAGAAGCTTAGAGGTATAAAATGACATGATGGAATCAAAAATACTTAGTGATTATGAAATCTAACCATTTTTGTCCTTACCCCAAGTACAAAACAAAGAACACATATCTCTAATTTACTTAAGTCCTTTCAATTATCTTGTCCATATAGAAACAAAAATATACTGAGCTCAAATTTGAGTATCTTTTATAATTCATGGATTTCTATAAAAATTTGTAAAAATTATGCACATACTTTAAAATGATATTAGACACAATTATTACAGATATTATATCGAACTGACATGTGACATAATAAATACAGCTTTACACCAATACTCTTTATCATAGCAATCAATAAATACTGATTTTTATATTATAAAAGTTGAAAGGATTTTATTTACATTCTAGATAAATAAATCAAGAAATTTTGTTGGTTTTCTGTTGAAATTACTGCCAAACTACAGATATAGAAATGAGGTGTAACAGAGTATAGATAAAGAACCTAAACAAAACCTATGTTTAGGCTAGCAACACAATGCGTTGTCAAGTCTGGAAATCAATGACTGAACATGTGATCATAATTTAAAGACCACTCAGACACTCACATACCATTCGGCAAACCTCGACAGATTCTACGCATCTAATCTCGGCTGTATGACGAATTCCGCCATATTGGAACTATTTTAAAGGTCCCGGATGAAAAATGGCTGCGCCCATGGAGATTTCTGTGGAGAGTGTATTATATCAACAAACGTCAAGTTTGGCATTGGGTTTGGGGAATTACCAGGGAATTATATCAAACCAGCAGCCTTAAGACAATATCTCTGCTCGTTTAGTTATATACACTCGACGCTATTTTGGGACTTTTTTGTAAAAGCGGCACGTTTTCCTGTTAAAGTAAACCGGTAGCCGCATCGCAAATGTATGGGCGTAGGTACATATCAATTACTATCATACAGCCGAGGTTAGATGTAGGGTTCTGGGATCTGCCGAGGTTTGCCGAGTGACTCACATACCCCTGCAAAACTATAAATTTATGACTTGTGTATTTAATAGGAGAACAAGGCCTGAAAATAGATGTTTCTTGAAATTACTCTTTTAATTTTAACAATAATAGCTACTTAATTACCATCTAATTAAGACTGTCACTGATTACAGTTGATGATACTGCCGATTTTCTTCTAAATATTTTATTAATAATTAATAGGTCAGAAATGCATTTTGAAACTGATGCAACTTGTATATTTAGTTATATTTAACATAATAATTTCATAAATATGAGATATACAGACATAATGCTTTGTGCCATACAAATTAAACAATGAACTAAAATTCCCAAAGTAACTTTATATTATATTACTTCCCCTGTAAAGTGGGGGCAACATTAATACACTGGTAGCATAAGATTTACCTGGGAGAGATTTGCTTGAGTAAAATGTGTTCCTATTTTTTATTGTAGAAATATTATTAAACAGATAATTTGTGAATCAAATTAAAACATTTGCACACTGAATAAGGAACCATTTTTAACAGTATACAACATATCAGCATATGTACAAATACAAGACTATCTTTATAGATCTCAATATGAAGCATGAGTATATAAAAATAAACAAAAAACACATTGGAAATGAACAAGAACCTACAATAGGTTCAAATGTTCTTGAGCAGGGACGCCCAACCTTTTTCTTCATAAACAAAAAGACTTTGTCATTGGAAATGAACAAGAACCCATGATTGGTTAGAATGTTCTTGAACAGGGGTGCCCAATGTTTGTGGTTCTGTTATTAGTGTTAACCGCTTACAACTTTCAAAAGTAAATTTTCCTCCACCCTTTTTTCACCCTATACGAGTTTACACTTCTATCATAATAAAGCAACTGACTAAGGGAAATATTAAAATATTGTTTTTAACATATGTTCAAATAACAACAACAATAACACATTATAATGTTATTTCATTTATATTTTTCTGAAGTCTCAGACTTTTTGATATTATAATTGGAATAAATAATATGTACAAATCCAAAATTAAGCAAATTTACCCTAGTTTGGGGAGCCTTGTTCTATAAAGTATACATTGGAAATGAACAATGGAATGTTAAACAAGTGAACTGACAATTCTATTAAATATATTATCACTGCCATGGTCTCTGTAAAGCAATATAATGATAAACAATATAGGCTACTACAGTTACTTCTAAATAAACTTGACTAGAGAACACATTATAAGCTTACAACATTTTAATATTATGATTTAGTTGTTTCTTGTCCATTGAAAAATCTTGATCATTATCATCTTCTGTTGATTTGCTTTTATTCCTTTAAGTTAAAGGCACTTTTTCATGCACTCTGACAGCTACAAAGGGGTTGTCATCGTCCTGTTAAAATAAACAAGCCGAATTGAAAAAGTAATTAGATGACACACATTTTTTAATTGTATATTTATCTTTTTATTAAGCATCAAACATTTTGCTTATCAGAGCTAAATGTGAGCAGAAAATGCACTGATTCAAAGTTGTTCAATTCCAAAGTCTCGACCAATCAAATTGCTCATCATCAAACTTAGTCAAGGTATTGATGTAATGATACAAGCCAAGTTTCAGCATTCTCATTCAATTAGAATCAAAGTTGTAGATCTCAAAGTCTCGACCAATCAAACTGCTCATCATCGAACTTAGTCAAGGCATTGATGTACTGAAACTATACCGAGTTTGATGTAATGAAACTATACACTAAGTTTCACCACTCTCACTCAATTGAAATCAAAGTTATCATGTACCAAAACATTGACGCAGAATATGTTAATTATTGAACTTAGTCAAGGTACTGATGTAATGAATATGAAACTATAGGAAATGCCAATTATCGAAATTAGTCAAGGTATTGATGTTATGATATATGCAAAGTTTCACCATTCTCATTCAATTAGAAACAAAGTTGTTAACCTGAGCCGAAAATGCTCATTATCGAGCTTAGTCAAGATATTGATGTAATGAAACTATACGCCAAGTTTCATCACTCTAACCTGACACAAAGCATCGGCCAATCAAATTGCATACCTCTGCTTAGCCTAAGCAGGAAATGGTCATCATCGAACTCAGTCAAGACATACACCTAATAAACACCTACACCAAACTTGAAAATTCTAGCTCAAGTAGAAGCTGAGTTATTGTGTCCTAAAAAGTGTGACAGACAGACAGACGAACAGACACATTTTAATAGTCCCATGCTTTCTTCGAAAGGCGGGGACAATAAATATCATATGAAGAATCATTTGTCAACAGATGATGTTACTCCACATTCTATTGAATGAAATTTATCCACAATCTTTGTTTCAACCGAAACAGTTCAGAATCCGAATTATTTTTTAATACCGATAAAAGCGGTTTTACAGATATTGTGTCAAAATAGGTTGTTCCAATATATATAATTAACCTTCATGGAACACATCTTTATATAAATCAGCTACTATTTAATTAACAATGACAAAACTATGTCACCCAACCGATTCACTTATCAACACTGACTTAGGATAACCCAATAACTCAAATAATAGAATTATAGCCATAGGAGAGGAAAAATTAAGAATAAAAATGAAATCCTTCCTATCAATTCACAAAAGATCATTTCACAGTTGTTGAGCTGAAAGTCAGAGTCCAGCAATATCAACAACTATACAGAAAACTGCAATTCAATTAATAATAATAATGGCAAAATCCTTCAAACAAATACTGATATAGTATCAAACATAAAATTGATCATTTAGGCCATTAAAAAAAATATCCTGGTTCTCAGATACAGATACTTTTGTGTCACTGAAAAGTAAATGTGCTGCATAAAAACAATCTCATTAACTACCTCATGTACATATTTTTCCCTTAGTTACAGAAAGCAAACATTTGAAGTGCATCCAACCTGATAAATATTACTGACAATCATGAATGGCACTAGAGATAATCATACATTCCTATAAATGACATGATGAGATAAATGTATTGCCTTGAAATGTGATGTGAAAATTCATTTAGTCCAGTAGTGACTTGATCCTTTGTCAAATAAAAACACCAAAGTAAACCTGACCCTGCCCCCCCAATCAAATTTTTTGGAAGGATTGTCTGAAAACCAGAATATTATTTTTGTATGGTCTTATGTTGATCATTTATGATATATATATAAATAGATGTTACAAATACATAGTAACAACTCTGACCTCATGCATCGATAAGATGCAAGTAAAAAGAAATTAAACCATGGTTTTATTTTCTTTAACTTCATTTCAAAAGAGATTTTTGAAGTGTGAAATGACCTTTTATCATGCATGCAAAGATGGTTATAAGAAAATTAAATCAGTATAGTAGAGATAAAACAAATGCCAACAAGAAATTGGAAATTCATCTATGCAAACTACAAAAGACATTATTTTTTTTAAAAGTTCAACACTCTTTGCTGATCGATTTGAAAAATTAGATTTTCCCCAGTAGACCTTATTAGTAATATAAATGATACAGAATGTTATCATAAATTTCACTTACATAATTCAATTTATATGTATGAGATTAAAGTTCAAAAAAAAAAATAATTAATATGCTTTTAACTTTTAACAATTAAAATTAAATATGCATCAAAACCATTCCTTTTTCAAATCTGTTAAAATTAACATAGAACTTAAAACAAATTAAAAGACATAACAAATAATTTGCTCCATTTTTTCTGAATCATAAGTCTAATTTAGTACTTCAAAAAAAAACAAAACCACCTGTTCTACCTTTTTGATCCTTTTTTTACAATCAAATTTAACAAGTCTTTAGAACTGAAGAAGAATATATTTAAGATTCAACATTATATAAGTTTGTTTTCATCAAAGTAAAATTTGAAGGATATCACATTCCAGATAATTGAGATAAGTAGAAATGCAATCCATCACCATGATGTAAAATAAAAAAGTTCACCTAGAAACGTAAAATATTCTTTACCAGTTACTTACAGAAAACATAGCATCTTCTTCACTCTACAATTTATATACAATAATATTTATAGTCCCTTACATTTATACTTTATATACTTGAGTTTAACTCTACAGTCTCTGTATTTTTAACAACAGTTATACTCAATTCCATGGCAGGTTCTACAGGTTCGTATCATGTCTTTTAATCCATGTGAACCAACAGAGCAGCAAATTAAAGTTTTCCCGATTGAAACGACCATATATGGTAATTCTTATCAAACACATTTTGTGATTCTCAGATAACAGAGTATTTTTTAACAGATTTGTCTGGAATATATTATGCTTTCACTGGAGATCTCTAAATTTTACTTAAAGGTAATGAAAATAATTTACCTTACTACTACCACCTCCCATTTTAATTCTTAGTTTTTGGAAGAGTTTCACACCCTTGCTTTCCGAGAAATGAACGGCTTCATCATCATCTTCATCATCTAAACCACATGATTCAGCAGCTGGTAATTCGCCTTCTCTTCCACCTGCAGTCTCTACAAGTTTCATGTAACGATATTCTAACCTGAAATAGAAAATAACTTATGCAATCCTCAATATATAACGATGTATCATTAACTCTAGATCCGATTAGACACATAACTGTACTTTCAAAACATTCATTCTACCCAATTTTCTAAGACTATATGTAATAGAACATTTTAGATGAATAATTGCATAAAATTAGTAGTAGTAGATGCTAGAGCCACCTTTAGAGAGAGAGAGTCTGGTCAACTAATGTCTCAATATTGACCGTATAGCAAAATGGCTTTTTTTGTCTAATCTTAGTGCTATTATGTACAGTTCTTGTGTGCAACAGATGTGTGTGGATGGGTGTGTGTAGGGGGGGGGGGGGAGGAGGAGAGAACGAGAGAGAGAGAGCTTCCCAATTTCAATCACATTCACAATCTCTAAAAGCCAAATTATGACTGGAAAGATAACTCCACAAAATGTGTTTGAAATTTTGATAGGGTTCTTCCTTTATAAACTTATGAATAATCCCACTGGCTTCATCGGGGTCTTCCCCGCCCACATATATTATGTGGTATCAACCAGCATGATCCTGTGAATGTTTCAGGCTATGATAATATATGGAGGTCAAGATCATTTAGTATTTAACACAGCCAAAAATAAATGTTGGGCTGTGCCGGCAGACAAACTGTTTTAATGCAATTAACGGTTATTATGGTAATTAAGTTTAATAATAGTAACAATTGATGTAAGCTAGCAGGAAAGGAAGATGGCAAGTAAGCAGATCTGAGGCGAAGCCGGGTAGCGAGCTAGTATTCTATAAAGAAATCGATCCTGTATCAAATGATTTTATAAGTCTGAATGTAAATGGGGAGATCACTATGAAATTTTGAATTTTGACAGGGCTTTTATATGATCAATTGAGCAATCCCTGCAAATTTGAAGAAATAAAGATAGGACAATATAGATAAATTCAAGTATTTTAATATTTTATCAATTAATTTAGAGAAAACTTACTTCTTGTTTCTCTTCCAGCAGTAGACAAGTAAAATCATCAGTAATAAACCAACACCTATTGCTGCTGGTATAGATATTTGAATCTAAAAATATACCAATTTCTTGATTAGCATATTTCAATTAAATCCACTAAATACACATCCTTGTAATTATAATCCACACAGAATACATGTATCTTAGTGGTCAAATCAAAGTCATCATGATCAAATTTTGGTGAACTTTCAGATTTCTGGAAACTATAAATCTTTCATATTAGTTTATTTCCTTTTTTAAAATATTACTTGATTCTGTTGTATAAACATTAGTTGATTTCATTGTATTAATATTAGTATATATTCCATAATAGACATAAAAGAAATCACATTCCATTATTTGACACTGAAAATTCAGTTCCAAAAGCCTTGAACAACTATTTAAATTCCAACATTCAATTATTTGTGCAAGAACAAATGTATCTTCTTGATTATTAACTGAAATGTGACATACCACTAATGGGATGGTTGTGCATTTTTGTTTCATCTTCTTTGGTTTTGTAACACTTGGTAACAAACAATCTCTGAAAGCATCGGTTATTTACAAATCAGTTCCTTAAGCATTAAAAATTCAAAGAACAAACTTTCAATACAATATGATTATATACCATTTTGAGTTAAAGAAACAACATGACCATCAGTACATCAATCATGATACACATTCATCATGACCATCAGTATATCATGATAAACCATCATACCCATTCAACATGACCATCAGTATATCAATCATGATAAACTTTGAACACGACCATCAGAGAATAGCAATCATGATACACATTCATTTTAATTATAACCATCAATCATAAAAATCACAAGTGTATATATCAAGTAAAGGAAACATGACAATGATCAGATCATCCATATATCAATCACAATAAATATTCATTATGACCATCAGTACATATATCAATCTTAAGAAATTTTCATCATGACCATATATCAATGCATGTTTATGCATGTTTCATTTATAATAATTGGTAGATATTTTCTTATATAGTTTGGGCTGCACTTTACAACTTGATATTATCGGTCTTTACTTGACACTCACTGAGAGAATCTTATTTCAGACTGTCCAAGAGTATATCCCCATTTAAAGATTTGTTTAACTTACTTAGGAGGATAATAATGAATCGTCTGTTCTCCATTAATACATTCACCATTAACAATCTCATAATCTTCATCACGACATAATGGACAAGCATGCTGAGTGTGCCATAAGAAATGGAAATTACAGCCATCACATGTTCCATCTGAACATTTAGGTGGTAACTCTATTTGACCTTGCTGTTTCTTATCTACCTCACATCTTACACTAATAATAGTCTGACGACCATCAGGACAGGCAGCTGTAGCACTGAAATAAATCATTTTTCAAAAATGAAATGCTGAACCTGTAAATTGATCACTGTTAAAGATGCATTATGTAAGATTTAGATGAAGAGCTATAAAAAAAATGGATATATTGAAAATATCCGTCAAATTACTTTATTCCGACCATGGTTACGAGTGTTTGAAGTTCGACATGAAATAGCTGATTATAATAATAAACCAAGTCTTGATTGTCAGTCCTTTTATTAGGTGGCATGCATATTAACGTTTAACAAAGATATGGTGTATATAGTCTAATCCACTCTATATCTCATCCATTCATTGATTTAACGTGTTGATTATTGGCTTGTCATGTAAATAAATGTCTAAATAATAATTAATATAACATTTGAATCCCTAAAAAGACCTGTTATAGGCAGATTTAGCTCTTACATAGTACATCTTTAATGGAAAACATGAGTGAGCAAAGTGTTTAATAAAATATAGTGAAGAAACAATGTCTATTAGAGTAGAAAATGCAAAGCCTTTATTAGGGTAAAACCTCTTAAACATCAGCACAATATTATATATTACATACTCATATATGTACCTGTTCCATTATGATCTGTTCTATTATTTGTCATATGGGTTGAAAAATTAACCCATTAAAAGCAAATCATAAAAAATTTATTACTAAGATAGTTTTATCAGATTACAGACTGTCACAGCTCACTGATCACAGAAGATTAATGAATAGACTGAGAGACTTTGTAATCATCTTTTTCATTTTACCTTTCAGCTCTATAATAGAAGTGAATATCATTCTGCATCTTATCAACACTGAAGCCTTCTTCTTCATACTGTTTCTTTAAACTAGCATTATTTATTATTTTTACAAGATGATCACCAATACTGAATAAGAAATGAAAAATAATTCTTTATACAAAAATTCAAACAAATTTCAAAAGAAGTGAAATGCCATTATTAGTCCTACATGTACATATTAAGCCATATTTCTGTGCATAATCAGCAGATCAATAGTAAACATGTAGACTACCTCACATATTTTTTTAAAGCAGAGGTAAGAAGCATTACCAACTCAGTCAATAGCCACTGCAATGCTACAATAGATAACAACTATGGGTAATTGTTTCAATGGTCTACCAAGTTCAATTTCCAGCTAGTAAAATAGTCAATACATATTGCATTGTTATACTTTCATTCTTCTTTTAAAATTCTTCTATAGCCAAGCGGCCCCTTTTTACTGACCGCGGAGCCGAGACGCGGGGGCCGGGGGCTTTCAGCCGTGAAAATTTTGAAAAATGAACCCCAAATATGCGATTTGGTGGCATATCTGATTATAATCTCTGTCAAATAGTATATCTCATAAATCAATTAATTTAGGCCAAAATCCCTACCTGCAAGTAATTTACAATCATCAACCTGTGAAATCATCATATCGAAATATTATGCAGGATTCCGAATTCCGGCCCACACCCGGCCCAGAAAGTCTATTATATCAGCAACTTCCAGACTCCAGTGATGGTGTGGCGGTCCGTTAAAGACACCGGCAACATACAACATGATCATCATCACTCCATGACCGGTCCAATACCCCCCCCCCCCCCATATAATGTTCAGCAGAAAAGGTTTTTTTAGACGAATTGGACAAAATTATTTTTTTCAGTTTTTTGTCTGACCGGCCCCCTGGTACTGTTAGACTGTTATATTATTATTTACTGTTAACATACCTGACTGGCTGGGTTGATACAACAGAATTTTGAACAGAATCTTTCTCTGGAACCAAAGTAGATCTACAGATCATTCCTGATACTTTACTTGGAATGTTCAACATCTGTAAAATAGAGACAAACATACATTATAACAATGGTTGGTCATTAACAGATCTATCAATAGATGTAAAAATATATTTCTTTTGTTTGTAGGAAAATCTAAAACATATACCAGTAACATAATCTAACACACTATATTTTACACATATATAGAAAATATTAAATTCTCAAGAACATTAAATGTGAATTTATTTGTGTATCCCATTGAAGAGAAATAAAATCATTGTGTTTCTGGACACCAATTATACACAGCAGCTTTGTGATAGCAGGCAAAGAAATCATAGTAAGCAGTGATTTATAAAATAGCTCAAAACATCTTGAGCAATCGAAGGGTTTCTGTGACAGGGACATAACTTCTGTACAACTGCACAATTTTGAATTTTAATAGGATGTCTCAATGTAAATAGCCGATTACTTCAAGTAAGATCAAATAAAAATGTTCAAATATTATGATCTACTCAAGCAAATTCGAATAAAAAAGCTGTCAAAACTCTGACAATGCAGAATGTTTACAAGGTTTTAGTGACGGGCAATATGTGCATCTTAATTTTAATTAAGCTCCTCTTTATGGCTAGTCAAAAAATCATAGCATGTTTCAAATAATATCAGCGCCAGACAATTTCAAAAGATTTTGTTCTTATAATAACAAGAAAAACTTCTCAGCAGGCTTGAAAAGATTGCAAAAACCTGTTGAGCATTTACATGAATAGTGAACTGACAGACCGATTGACAGGGTTGACAACAATATACTCTCATATTAAATGTGATCGTATATACCAACAAAAAAAAGAAGAGAAAAATAGAGTAAAATCATAAAATATACATAGGATAAAATAAACACGGAAATCTATTCTTGAAAATTAGAAAATAATACAGAAAATTAGAAGAAAAAATTAAGTTATAAGTCAATCCCTTCAATAAGACAGTCAAAATGTTTTTTGAAAAATTGTTTTTAAGTAACCAGCCACCAACATCTATAAACCTACAGTCTGCTGAGTCATAACTTCAAATTCCTCAGATTTCGTCGCTTTTTCACCCTTAAAATATATTTTTTTGTTGTTAAAATATTTCACAAAATTGCAAAGTTGTTTAAGCTGAAAGCTAAACATCAAAATACCACCCATTATGATCTTAGAACTAGTCTTCGGTACATACATCATACGTCTTTTATATTGTGTCAACCTGAATTTGAGGAAAAGAGTTTCACTATATCCATCTTTGGTTTGCCAAATTTGAGTTGTGTTACCTAAATCTCTATATTTATTTTGTTAGTTTAAAATTACCCAACACAGTTTTCTCATGATCACAATGCAAATGGAAATAAAACACTCTTCAACTATGATCTAGTATAATTTTAATATATGCCTAAAAGATACATTAATATAACTTACATCTTCATCTTGTGCAGTAACATTATTAACACAGGTTGGTAATGTATTAGTATTATGACCACATAGACTAATATTAAAACCATGGTAATAGGTTGTACCACTAGATGTAAATAATCTTGTACCAGTTACAAACTGTAGACTGAAAATCATAACATTAACTCTATATATTATATTGTGTTAGAAACATCACCCAGACAGGTTTCAGTTGGAATTCTCATAGCTTGAATATTATTATAGTGTTTCTTTCATTAACTACATATTTCAGATTGTACAGATTGTATAATTCATTCTAAGATGCGGCCTCCCAGACGTAGACTGTCAAACTTTTTGCGAAATATATTAAATATATCATACCGATCTAGTGCTGATAAGTCGTAAGATTTGCCCTGATTATCAACTATCTTACAATCAGATTCACAGTGATGTCCATTAACAGCTTTCATTCCATCACCACATTTGTGGCAGGCTTTAATTCCCCAGGGATCACTACTGGACATAACAGTACCATGTGGACAGGGTGTACATGTTGTAGATATAGGATCTATATAATGTCCATCAGGACATGGAATACACCTACAATAAAATATACAATATAACTGTAATCAAACATAACAACAAACATTACAAAAAAAGCAATAGCAAGAGATGGCATTATGGGACTAACAGTGGGAGGTAAAAAGGAGGACGCCCCAAAAAAACAGGAGCTTAGACAGGTGACCCTACTCCGTGCCACGTACAAGTGCGAGATCAAAACCACACCATTTGACTTAATGGCAGACTTTATGATCTAAAGAGCACATGTTAGAACATTCATAACTTATCAATCTGCAATGAAAACAACTGATTAAAGATTATGCTCAATAAGAAAGAATACAAACATCCAGAAAAGAAATTTCCAGGCTAAAAATTCCCCACATTAATTCATTCTATTGCTTGAAACAAAACTACATGATAAATCTTTACAAACTGATAGCCATAGCATAGGATGTACAATACCTGTATATAATTAAATGTCTTACCCATCCTTTTGTAAACCTCTAGGACATGCTTTACATGCAGTAGCTCCACCTGATAGTGTATTAGTAACATCTATTGAATATATTCTAGCCACATTATTTAAATAATCTTTTGTTTTATCCTCTTCTACAAAATCCCAATCAACAGGTTGAAAAGCCCAGGTGAATGTCTGGGAATAGTTATGTCGCAGTTCATATCTAAAATTATATAAACAAACATTAAGTTTATAAAAAGCACAACAAGTTGAAATTGTTTTTTGGGAAGGCCCTAATAATATGTAACTGTTGAAATTTTGAAAAACAAAAAAAGTTTATGCATAACCACCCTCTCCCCCCAAATAAAATAATATTTTTTGTCTAAAAAGGAGGTGCATAAATTTAAAATCCTATCTTTTTTTATACATTAGAAGATTATTCTCAATGGAGAAGGATATATCAGTCCCCGTGTTGTCTTCAAAATATAAAAGCTATATCAATAAACTTACACAAAAGGAGTTTTAATTGTTGAACCTTGCCAGCTTTTAACAATAGTATTTCTTCCGGACTCATTCTGTAAATAAACAGTCATCATTACCATATTTATCATTCACAACAAAAAATCTTCCATCATCCTTCATAAATAATGTTATTATATACACGATATTACAACTAAAATTCAGCACCAACATTATAATAAGCTACAGATTTTGGTACTTTGGACATTTCTGTACTTCTGAACTTTGGAAATTAACAGGAGAATTTAAATTGAAATTTAGTTTATTTTATTGTTCATAATGTCTTTACTTAATAAAGAGATAAAAAAAGGTATTTGAATATTAACGAACTGTACTAAAGAGATAAAAAAAGGTATTTGAATATTAACGAACTGTACTTACAGAAAGAAAAACAAGTTCACAATCTCCAACACATTCAATATCAAACATGAAGGAGATTTTACCAAGTACTGTAGCTTTGCCATCAACACTACCAGGATGGCCTCTTAAACCAGATATTTGCATGGTTAATATAATAAATATCTCTTTATCGCGACCAAAGTTAGTTCTAATATGATCTCCAGCAGTCAACCAGCCAACTTGTTTAGAACATTGAGTAGCTGTAAATTTAAAAAGAGATGATTAATTTTCTTAATACAATATGTTCATTTGTTATTGTATGAAAACTGTTATTTACATTTAAAATATAAGATATATTATGGCCACAAGGATAAGAATATAATCTCTATGAATGGGGTTATTCCTGTTTCTTTCATCAGATATAATATGTATTTTATTTAGTACAAGCAATATTAACAGTATTATACCACAAACATTTCTCCCATTCTTGTGGTTTCTTAGCTAGTGCTAACACTAATACTAGAATATAAATAATTGTTCAAGACTATTTGAACCGATTATTTACTATTCATTATCAATTAAACTGATGAAATTTGATCTGCTTTTGTCTCCAATTAAATATTTACTAATAATAATTAAATGAAAACATCTAATTTCACAAGAAATTATATTGATTTAAAAGATTTACAGAATCAAAATTAATCAGTTCAATTGAATAAAACATTCTAATAGTCTTTATTATTTTTAAAAAAGGAATAGAACTTAGTAGAGATAATAATTACCTGTCATAGATAGACAAGATGATGTTACATTAGGAGGCATAGTGTTCCACCATCTATAATCTATACTATATAATGGAGATGTTGATACAGGACATTGACTGCATTCTTCTTTACCATCAGAGTGCGTATCAGCAGAACAAAACTCACAGTGTGAACCATTAACTAGATGCATACCAGGATTACATGGTGGACAATCTTCTGGTTTACCATCTGCTGGTATTGTAACCGAGTTAGGATCTTGAGGATTACAAATCTGAGGTTTAACCCAACTGTATGATTTCATTGTCTGTAAAAAAAACCCAATTAATTGTCAAATTAAATATTACACCCATTATTAAATTGCAAAACAAATGCTTTTAAAATATAATTTAACAAAATTTGACCAAAAAAAAGATATTGAAATTCTTTACATTTAAAATAAAACATTTGTAAGTGGTTTTGAAAGCAAAGAATCAACCCTTGAACAAATCAGTACCTCTCTGCCAACATCAGTAGTAGCATGTACACAGAGAAAAAGTAGATACTCAATGATTTCAGTAACTCACCCTCCCACACAATGAATTAGGCAATATATTTCAAACATTATAATAAGCTTATAAACAGCCTACCTTTTTATTGGTACAAGGTGACTGGTGTTCAAAGTAATCTGATTCCACACATGCTGGTTTCTTTAAACATTGACTGGATCCTGGTACTAAAATAATACAAAAAATAGTTTGACTTCGTTGGTTTGTTTTTTTCCCTGTGAACTTTTAGTACACAAGGAATAAAATTACAGTTATCAGAACTTGAACCAATTAGTAGGCCTTATACATTATTAACAGATAATTTGGATAAAAATTCATGTGTTGATCCTAAAGTATTCATGAAATCATAGCTGCATGTTCTGCTCTGGCTGAGGTCATAGGTACAAGAGCAATCTAATTAAAAATTATATCATTATGTTTTGTGTCTGATTGTTCATAGTAAATAAGTTCTAATATATATTCAGAGCGGCTGCTGTTAGGATGCACAAGGTTTTTGTGAGTTAATGTATAGACTAAGCTTGGCATGACGGGAATAGCACCGTTTTGATTGGCTTACAGTACATAACTTAGAACATGACACAACAATATGAGTTGTCAGACATTGAACAAACTAAGTCTGGTAAAATATAAAATAGTGAAAATCAAAGTAAACAAAAAACAATTTTAAACATATCTGACTTCAATCAGATTGGTTACATGAGGTCCCTAGCATTTTTAGAATTAATCATATCTGATGAAAGAAATATTTCTTGTTTTACAGTTTAATTCTTTCTAATTTATAAACATTTTCAAAAGAAGAGAAATTAGAAAGAATGATGATTTCACTATAATATCATATTTATATAAATTTGTACAAAGATTTTATGCGATCATCATTCATGAAATTTTGATGATTTAGAGTCTAGAATTATGTTTTAATTACATGAATATTCTTTAGTTGTATCACAACTATGACATTGTCCCTCTCCTCTACTTGAGTACGTATTTTCAGGACACAAAGTACAGAAGTTGGTTCCACCACTACTATAGGTACCATTTCTACATCGTGTACATTCAGATGTAAATGCTACACCTGAAACAACCAATCACAAGCATTACAATAAATACAGTATGTCACATATGTTTATTCAAAATTGAAATATCAAGCCAACCATAAACATCAACTGTATGTAAACAAGATGACTAGTCATCAACATCCCGCGCCCTTGCACTTGTTTTGAAGAAGTAAGGAAAAATAACTTGTTTATGCTATTGGTAATCAATATAAAAATGTATCAGATTTCGCAAACAGTGTCACTGGTCCTAATATTGTGGCCCTGTTTAGTAGTTATTGCTCTCTATTTCTGAAAACAAATGACTGATTGCTATTTACTAGAAGATTTGAGATAATTTATGACATTAAGCTCTGGTTTTAAAAATTAGACATGACTACATAGAAAATAGAGATATTTTGCAAGTGGAGGGAACTGGAGCTTTAGACAAATCTCATATTCCGACACTGGAATATCAATTCACAGAATTTCATACTCTGATCACAGTAGTTCGGTTTGCACAACAACCTTTGCCTACCTCAATTAGCTGCTGCATGTTAAACAATAAACTTATTATACATCAGAAAATAAAATACTATAATACATGTAGGTTAATGTTTGTACAAAGTTTCAAAAAGATTTCTTGAACAGATAATAAAATGTGCTCCAGAAACAAAATCAGGACGGAAGGCTGGATTTCAGAAAATAAAATAAAGGGTTAAATTATTTTAAAGGTATCTTGAACAGTCAAATGTGTTTCCATGGAAACACATAAAATTATCAAATCTGAGAAATTCAAAATAAGTGCCATGAAGATATCTTGAACGATTTATGAGATATGCTCCAGAAACAAAATTGTACACCAAAAACTAAGTCAAATTTGTTTCCATGGAAACACACAAAATATCAATCCCAGAAATTCCTAAATAGCACAACTACTGTAATGGGTAGATGCCTGTACAAAGTTTCAAAAAGATATCTTGAATGGTTTATGAGATATGCTCTGGAAACAAAATTGTACACCAAAAACTAAGTCAAATTTTTTTCCATGGAAACACAAAAAATATAAATCCCAGAAATTCCTAAATAGAAAAAGGCACGACTACTATAATAGGTTGATGTGTGTGCAAAGTTTCAGAAAGATATCTTGAATGGTTTATGAGATATGCTCCAGAAACAAAATTGTACACAAAAAACTAAGTCATTTTTGTTTCCATGGCAACACAAAAAAATATAAATCCCAGAAATTCCTAAATAGCAAAAGGCACAACTACTGTAATAGGTTGATATGTGTGCAAAGTTTCAGAAAGATATCTTGAACGGTTTATGAGATATGCTCGGGAAACGGACAGACGAACTCCATTTCAATATCCCTCCCTAACTTCGTTCGGCGCGGGATAATAAGACAGAGAGAAGCTTCTCGGGTCACTTAATATGCCCACCAACAGCAACATTGTGCTAATTTTAAAATCACTCAACAAATCCCTCAAGACATGTTTTAAAAAAAAGGAAAAGGCTGTGAAGTATAAACTTTGTCCCAAGCTTTAACAGTAAAAATATCAACGGAAAGATTAGTTCTTTAACTACGACCAGTCATTGACAACGACTTCTGTTCGTTTTTTTAACAAAACCGACAAGCTGGTACTAGTGACCTGAAGACATGTTATGAAACATAGTCTCCCATTGGCTAATAAATACGTAAATGTATTTATTTTAGTACATGTATAGTTAAAGGATTTCCAATATTTAGTATTTTATTAGATATTTTCTCCCAACCATGACATTGTTTACTGATTTACTAATGATGAAGGCAACTAGTACTTTGTGAGTCCAGAGACATCATCTGCTGATCAGCGGCAGGTAATCCTGTATCTGAGTTGTCACTGGTCAGTGTTTAGACTATAGAAGGATTCCAAAGGCCTTGTATAGTTGTAATCTTACAGATACATGTAGCACGAAACTTTAAGCCGTGTTTTACTAACTGTGACAAACCTAGCTTATGACATACCTGATATTTCAATGTTCCTGATTAAAATAGGAACTGTTTTAGATTTTGCCATATCACTCATAACACCAATAGTTCTCCATTGTAAAACATTCATACCAGATTTCAATTTTACCTTAAAAAAAACCCCAAACAAAGTATATATTATAGAATTTACAGACTTTAAAATAGGAGAAATTATGAATTCTTCCAAAGCAGGTTTTCAATAAATCTGTGTTGCAGCTTTATACAAATTAAAGTCTCGTATTTAATGAAATGTTTTTTCAGCAATCCTATTGAATAAAGCAAATGTATGCAGTATATAAAAAATAAAGATAAATTTAACAGTAAAAATAGGTTGATGTTTTTGTTATTAATGTTTTTTCTTATCCACGATGTGATTGTAACTTACAGTTTGTTTGTGCCACTGTCCTTCATCTGTTATCTTTGGCCACTGACTAGATTCATCATCACCAGCAGCTTGGCATTGATCATTTTGTACCTAAAACAAGAAATACAATGCTTTGTATCAAAGACAAAAAACAATCAGGAACTGGGAAGCAGCCCAATTTAGTTTATTCCCCTAAACTATTTATCTGAGATGTCAGTGGATATCATGCTTTAATCGTTTTAATTTGTGTATTCAAAATTAACCATTCAAAGTTTACAAAGCAGTTCTATTTGAAAATATGGATTTTAATGTATGTATTAAAAATATATTCATAGCAATTGTGTTAGGGGTAGCATTTATCTTTATTTTGAAAGCAAACAATGATGATATCTCAGAACTAAAAGAGAGATAATTTCCAATTTAAATTTGCTCCAGGTCCGTGGAAAATTTGTTTAATCCATTATCAAATAATAAAGTAATTCTAGCTACATGTAAAAAGCTACCCATGTCTCGACAATTTTTCAATTGTGACTTTGTATTCTTTGTTCATTTTCAATCATAAAGCAGAAACATTTAATTACAACAGAGAACTCAGATAGATTACCAGAAAATGAAATATTGTATCAGGATCAGTATATTGATATTCAAACATGGCCATGCCAGCAGTCACTAATTTGGTTGAGAAAACTAGACTTGTTGTACATGCTCCTGGTAATGCAGCTATATAATTTCCTTTTGGTTGCCATGTGGACCTAAAAAAAATAAAATTAACAGTGAATATCACTAAAGATATCTCTGACATCTCAGTTTCTAATTACATACAAGTACATATTAAGATCCCAATTTCAAGGATTTGCAGTTGAATACAGTTAACTTTTCGAGCAAGTTGTGGAATCTTATTTCTATAGCACATGTATGTCTGAAAGAAAAACGGTTTAGCTAACTAACACATCATTATATAAGTTTGAATGGAGGAGCAACACTTTTGCTGTAACTTTTGTAGCTTTGACCTTCTGCTCAAGCATGTACATGTACTGTGTATCCTTCATAAGTTTTAATAAGGCATATTTGATGGCCGTGGGAGGTATAAAATTAAATTTTCAAAACCACAAATCAGTCATAATCAATTTGTCTCAAAAATATGTGGTTGTCTATTTGAAAAGAAAAAATAGGTATTTCCCATTGCATTGGTGGGGAGTCAATAGGCTGTATCTAGTTTTGCGAAATTGTCCAGGAGAGCTAAAAATCACATAGAGCTTAAGAATCAAAATGTACAGAAACTTCACATCAAAATGTTGTGTGTAAAAATGATTTTATCTGTAAAGATGTCTGTAAAAATTGTATGTGTAGCCATTTAAACAGTATCTGGCTAAATATCGAGTTCAGAAATAAGAAATGAAAGCAAGTTAGTTCTTTGCAACTTTATACAACAAAGATATTCACCTTTACCTGCTTCAAATTCATAGATTTCACACAGTAGAGTGTCAACAATAATGGAACGCCCTCTATACAACATTTTGAAATAATATCTACATGTACCAGCAAACCCCTTTATATTAGCTTAGAAATATGATAACTAGATGAAAAGTTATACATTTACGAAATTTGATAAAATCAATAATATAGTTTTACTACTTCAGAATTGCAGCCTGTAGACGATAAATACAAAAAATGGGTGTGGCTCTGCCCCTGGGGGTTGAATATGGAACAATATAAATAGGTGCCGTCCTTAGTATATAAGGAATAAGCATTCCAAGTTTCAAGATAATCCATTCAGAATTGTGGCCTTCGGGCGCTCAAGGCAAAAATTGGGCGTGGCTCTGCCCCTGGGGGTCAGGGCATTCACCTGAATCAATAGTTGACGGCTTTTGACGCCCTTAGGCTATAAGGAATACATATGCCAAGTACAAAGTTGATCCATTCAGAACTCCGACCTGTAAACAATAAACACAAAAATTGGGCGTGGCTCTGCCCCTGGGGGGGCAGGACATGCAGTTGTCGTCCTTAGGCTATAACATAAGGGATACATATCCCAAGTTCAAAGACAATCCATTAGGAATTGTGGCCTGTAGGCAACTCCCAGAGACACAAAGAACAAATGGGTGTGGCTCTGCCCCTGGGGGTTGGGCAATCACCAAAAAACAATAGGGGGCATCCTTAGGGTATAAGGAATAGGTATGCAAAGTTTCAAAATGATCTGTTAAGATTTGCGTGGCTCTGTCGCAGGGGGTCGGGCATGCACCAAAAACAATAGGGATCATCCATAGGGTATAAGGAATAAGTGTGTAAAGTTTCAAGATGATCACTTAAGAATTGTGGCCTCTAGGCGACACACAGACACACAAAAATAAAATGGGCGTGGCTCTGCCCCTGGGGGTACTGCATGCACCCCAAACGATAGGGATTGTACTTAGGGTACAAAGAATAAGTATGCAAAGTTTCATTATGATATGTTAAAGGGCCAATCCCGATAAGTTTTTGGAGAATAAAACTGCTTAATTTTGTGTTAAAATCCCTTAAAATCGTCTACCTAAGGGCCGAGCAACTAACTCAATATTCGTGATACTTTTCAAACAACTTAAACCCGTCAGTCTTCATCTGGAAATGGGGACCAGTGTCTCAAGATGTATTATGTGGTATCTGGATAAAATAAGATTTTTTTATATAAATAATGTGTTGGTGTAATTTACCTTTCGTTATCAAGTACAGCACGTGGGCCGTGCACTGTATAGACCTATCAAGGAACGGGAATCGATCATCAAGTCACCCAACGAAAAAAATGACCCGAAATCTTAAAAGGGTTACGTGCTCGGATAAGCAGTTTTAACGTTCACGTCCAAACACCTCAATATTTTGAGCTGAAATTTTGAGACAAGGTAAATACACCAGTTCCTCTATATTTTGGCGCTTAAATTTCATACGTACTCGGACATCTATTTTTGAGTCTCTGTTCAAATCGGGATAGTCCCTTTAAGAAATGCGGCCTGTAGATGACAAAGAAAGAAATACAAAAAATGGACGTGGCTCTGCCCCTGGGGGTCGGGCATGCACCAAAAACATTAGGGATCATCCTTAGAGTATAAGGAATAAGTATGTAAAGTTTCAAGATTATCACTTAAGAATTGTAGCCTGTAGGCGACACACAGGCACACACACAAACACACCCATACACACACACAGGCGACGGCAATATACATGTACGTCCACATTATGAATGTGGACGTATAAAAATATATCCTCAAAATCCGCACAATTCCAAATGCTTATCAGAGGTATCAAAACAAGCTACATAAATGTAGTTATCTAATTCTATCCAAACAATGCACTGTTCCTACATTCAATATGGCCTAAAATGATCAGATTGACCTTTATACATACATGTACATGTACCAGTATATAAATGAATTGATAGATGAATGGAATTGGAAATTCAGGAAGACGATATCATGTCAGACAATTGTATTTTATCAATAACAAGATTAGAATGTTGATGGACAATTTTCAACAGTAAATCAAAGCTAGCTATAAAATCGGGTTTTATTCACTCAGAAACTCCTAATATTTTAAGCTGCCACTAAATTTGGGATCAGACATGCTACTACATGTAAATACAGATCTAGCTACTAGCAACAGTATAATATAAATACAGATTATTACTGAAATCTTAGGAGTTTTTATATGTTTTCTCTATAATCTTCTAATGTCTCTTGATTTAATCTATTGGGAATCTAATATTAGAAATGTATGAAATATGAAACCTATCAAATTGTGTCATATTATATGACAATAAATCGATTGTGATTATTGATGTGATCTAAATGCTTGTATACATGCCATTTACTTCAGAATGTCAGGTTAACTTTGAAAAAGATGATACAGAGTTTATACTAGTCTTGGTCATAAAGCAATACCTTCATCTGTAAACTTATTGATTTTTAACAATTAGTAAGCAGGCAGCTGTAGCATAAATTGACATGCTTTGTTTAACTTGTACATCTGTGAAATAAATTCAACATTTAGGACAGGCTGACAATATAACACTCAAGCCTATCAAATTATGTGGGCTATGTCATTCCATTCAAAGTCATTACGATGAATTTATTAATTGACTTTGAAAATAATAATTTATATTTATCTGCAATTAGGTCATCTTGTTTCACAATCAAAACTTAAGTTTTATTTGAAAGTATATTTCTGGAGGCTAGTTAAAATATAACTTGGTTCTTCTAAGCCCACAAGCAATTATATATGTACATGTATCTTCTTTGCTGAATTTAGACATTGTCAATGGGTGTTCCAACAATGATATAGCAAGCCTGGAAATAAACCATATTCTGTCACTGACATTGTCAGGAACAAATTCAGGCTTTCCTCTGGTGTTTGCCATTTTGTCAATAACAAATTTTTCTATTTTCTGAATTAGTTTGGATAAGTTTGGTACATGTACTAGTACTACAAAGTTAAAAATGTCAGGTTCAACATTAGGCACTGTTGAACTTTTGTTGGGTATAAAATCATTATTTCCAAGCCTAATACAGTACTTGCATGTTGCACTAGCACCCATCTAGCCATTGTCTTACAAACACATACCCGTAATAACTTTAAAACTTATAGATTGTAAGATTAGATATGTTTATGTAGTGTCTTGAATTGTTAAAGATATACCTATGTATTACATTATACCACAAAATTCACAGTCATATAAAAATGATTGCAAAATCATTTCTGTTATGACTGTAATTTGTAATATAATAACCTCATTAACAAATCCATCAAACAAAATAAGGGATCTAATTCAGATTGAAGTCTTGTTTCTGGCTTTATGTATGTGAAATCTGTTTATAAACAATATAAGTCTTATTGATCAATAAAAAAAGGAGAAATATTCTAACGATTTTATGTACCATCTGTCAAATACTTGATTATCTACTGGCTTATATAAGCTTATGTATCATTCAAATTGAGTTTGATAATAAAAAGTTTTTCTGTATTCTTCTCTAAGGAAGCTGTATCTGATGATAAATTTGGGTTCATGTATACAAAAGTAGACTGATTTGCCTTCTCTGAAATGGTCGCCAAAACTGCCTAATGAATTGGGTTTCCCTAGTATTGATGTGAAATGAGTGAACACTTTACAGCAAGCTTATTATATTGACATGGTTATCCAGACACTACTCCATTTGTTAATTGGGAAACTAATCTCCAATTAAAAGAGAAAACATAGGCTATATAATATATCATCATACGTCCACTAACAGATTTGTAAGGGAGGTTTTGATGGCCTAGTGGTCTAGAGTGCCGCGCTTCGACCTCTAGCTGGCCGGTCACCTCTGGCTTGTGGCTGTGGTTTCGATCCCTGGTGTGAGGGTATGCGACTTGGGGATAGGGGGCGCCTTCTCAACCGTTGGTGGAATCGGACGTTAAACACTAAGAACAACAACAAGCAGATTTGTCATTCATGTAAATGCACATCATTACTAATACCATTACAAATAGACAAAGTAACCAACTGCAGTAGTTACTGACTGCAGAACCGTTATTTTATACATGTTTGTCAACATTCACAAAATGTGCTGCAAAATTATTATTATTATTATTGTTCGATTTATATAGCGCTTCATTACACTTTAGTGTTTCTAAGCGCATTCACAACAAAACAGTTCAAAAACATTTTTGAAATAAGTATGTTTTTAAGTTAGTCTTAAAGCTCTGAATGGAAGAGGACTCTTGAAAAGTTTTTGGAAGATCATTC